TTATATAGTAGCATCAGCTTTGAATATTTTTATAGTAGGTATGCGAAATCTCAGTTTGAGTGTTTCTTAAAGCTGGAGGGGGTAATTTAATGGGTACAGGCCCTTAGGTATATGTTATCTTTGGATATTTTTAACATACCTCTTGCTTTCAGATACATCCTAGTATTCATGTTGTTTCTCCAAATGCCTTCCCTCTCATTAGGGCTCAAAAGCTGAAGAGATTAGTCAAATTGCATCAAAACTATTTAACATTGTTTCTTTCAAGTGTTTTCATCATGGCAATACAATGATGATTAACACAATAATTTTTTACTTCCTATTATTTCAAGAACGTTAATAATATAAGTTTGGGGCTCTTAGTTCTCATTCACATTATAAATATCCAAGCCATGCTTTCTTTCTACAGATATGTGAATGATTGGATCATGATAATCTTTGTTCCATGAAACAGAACACTGGGGGTTTTCCAGCTTCTAAAATGTCACCTTATGGAGCTTTATACAAAAGAACATTTCCTTAACAATGCATGGATGAAAAGGATAACATTATAAAAAACAGAATGTGGGATATATAATATTGGAAGTACGAGTAGTGAGAGACAATTGATTACTATTTTATTAAGTAAGGATCCTGATTGTGTCACATAATGAGTAGGATAAGTACTAATGACATTGAGTACATGGCAGTCTTGTTACTATTTCCATTTCTTTAATATGTAAAGAGTAGATAATCAAGGAAACAGAATACTGATTTTACTTCCAATTATCTGCTTGTTTACATATATAAAAAGCTGTTGACTTAACAACTATTTTGGTCAATAATTTGTTTTCTAGTATGATTTCTCAGAGCATTATTTAATTAGGAAATTTGAAATGAAATTTAGGAATCAAGATAGGAGAGAGCAGTATAAACCAGCAACTACAAGCAGATGTCTGAAGAGATGTAAAGATGTAGAACCACAGTGATCATCCTATTTGGCTATAGGAACAAGTTTTTGAACCATATGTTCAGGTATTTTATGTTTTTATTGTCCAGTGTATTGTCCAGAATATATATATTCTATATATTCCAGGGAATATATAGAATCTACCTTACATAGCGCAGCAAATTTAGTGATGTTCAGATACTGCCTTATAAAAACCAGTTAATGTATATAATACTGATTCCAAATTTCTGTCCTATATATTGTGTCACTTCATGTCTAAAGTTTCTTCATGTTGCCCTATAGACACAACTGATGATGCAATGCAGATGCCCAGTATGCAATGACCTATGTGTCGATGAGCAAAACATTTGTTTCTGTGCTATAGAAGCAGAAGAGGATGGTGCAGAGTTAGGCTACTGCTTCTACTAAAACATGAGCATGTCCTGTTAAGCCATGTTTCATCTGAAAATATTCTCAGGAAATATAGGGAACAGCAGTTCAGGCAAAATGACAGCCATTCATCTTCACACTTCTAATACTCGGAGTTTATGTTCTGACCTTCTCTACTGTGGAAGGGATACTCCAATAGTGACAGCAGAAGTATGGTAAAACACTTCCAGACCCCTGGCTACTTATGATGAAGGTGAAATCTTTCCACTGCTTCTGATTTTCAATGAGACTGAATCTTCCATATTGGATGCACTGTAGTTAAAGAATTTCATAGATTTTCCTGATGTCCTGATATCTGATTATACTATACTGACTACTAAGCTGAGGTTCCTTTTTCTCCCTCCCCCATAGATGTAGATAAGAAAGATGGAGTCTGGAATATCTTGATGTGACATCTGCAAAACAGGAAATAAAGATAAAAATAAACACACCCCTGTATAACTAAAATTACCAGACATCCTTTACAGTAATGGATAAGCAAATTAACATTATTGTTGTCATTCTTAAATAGACACAGAATGGCAGGAACTCGAGAAACTGAGTGTGGGACTCATGTCCCTTCTGTGCTCTGACTTTAACTGATGCCTCTCAGGGTGCTACACATCTATGAAGTCCACATGGCTAAGGACTGGCCTAGGGCACATACGAATCAGGAACACTTTGTCAAGTCTTAGAACAGGTACATATTGGCTAACCTCAATAACTCAGTATGACCTAGCTCCTTAAAGTGTCCCAGAATAGACATCTGATGCATAATTCCTAAAAAAGGGAAAAGTTAGTCATGAGCCCTGGTATTTTTAATAACTCCAAGTTCAGTGCATCCTTCATGCTATTGTCACATTAGGTCCAAGTAAGTCATCTACTACAGCATACTCTCAGAAGTGCAAATTTTTTCACTGGCTCTTTTATTTGTTGACTAATTGTCCTATTGGCTCCATTTCCTGTAATATTGAGTATGGAGTAGAAGTGTATTTAAAACAACGACAACCATGAGAGATTTTTTTTCCTGAGCAGTAAAAAAAAAAAAAACAAAAAAAAAAACAAACAAAACAAAAATAGGCAGAGGTTTCTTAATTGTTATACCCCTGTTTTGCCCTCTTTTGATTTAGACACTGTCCTGTTAGCATGCTGCCCAATATAGATAACCTTCTGTCTGCTGGTGTTCTTACTCCACACTGACCCAGAACAAATGGCAGGATACTGTGCTTGCTAGGCTTGGCTCAAGAGTATATCTACCTACTGCTTCCTAGAATCAGTTCACTACTTTCTCCATTTACTCCCTCATATTAATGATTATTTCTTTTCTCCTTTTTTGGAACATAATGAAAGAATCCAGTCTTGTGAAAGGATATGCTAAATCTTACAGAAAAAAAAAATCCAAGAGAACAGAAAGTATCTCTCCCTAGTGTACCCTGAATCTGCATATGACCTTCTGCCTTTTTACATGCTTCCATAAGATATAATTTATAGTATGTGCCAGACAACCATCTTTATACTAATTCCCCTGAGTAAGTTTTCCTGGGGAACTCTGTTAATATTTGGTATTTGCTCATAGATATATATTCACCTGTTTACTGATCATTGGTTTATAATCTTGTTTATTTAACTCAAACACCCTGCCATGGATCACCTCCTTCTTTATTGAATTGATATATAAAATGTATATGGAAACTAAAGTAAAGCTGTCTGTAGCCTCGTACTTAGTTGGCATTATGCTACTTATATTTTTGTGCAATATTGGGCCTCTAATCTGGTTGTCTCAGTGAGCAAAGAGTCTGCATGTAGATGATAAGTGACCTTGTCTCCAAGTCATTGTTGCTTGGTAAATAAAGATGCCAACACCCAATACCTAGGTAGAGGAGACATAGGGAGTGTTGAGGTTTCCCAAACTAGACGTTGGAGACAGGTACCAGAAAGAGGCTAAACCACCAACCAAAGAGTACACATGCAGGGACCCATGGCCCCATCTGCATATGTAGCAGAGGCCTTGTTGGGAGTGGGAGGAGGGGCACTTGGTCCTGTGAAGGTTCGATGCTCCAGTGTAGGAGAATGCCAGGACTGGGAGGCTAGAGTGGGTGGGAGGGAAACACCCTCATAGAAGCAATGGGAGAGGGGTGGGAGAGGGGATTTTCAGAAAGGAACATGAAAAGTGCATAACATATGAAATATAAAAAAAAATATCTAAAAGAAGAATATATTTTTTAAAAGGGGGGTATAGAGTTAAGCAGAGAATTCTTAACAGAGAAATCTTGAATGTCTGACAAGTACTTAAAGAAATGTTTAATGCCCTTAATCATCTGGGAAATGCAAATGAAAACAGCAGGATATTTCATAATACATCAAAGGGAATCACTAAGATAAAATCCTCAAGTGACAACTCTGCTGACAAGGATATGGAACAAGGGGAGTACTCCTTTAGAACATGAGTCTATTAAAAGATCTAAATAAATAATCACTGTTAAGATAAAAAAATTAAGTTTGAAAGCTGTTTCCCAAATATATAAAAATTTCTATTGTTCTGCACAAATGGAAGAGCAATTATACATAGTAAAATATGTAACCAGGTTTATAAGATAGACATAAATAAGGGTGTAAAATCTACTAGCATCTACAGGAATATGCATGAATATCTACATAAATACAAGAATACATATAGGCCAAGGAGACCATCAAAACTGTAAAACTGAGCTTTAAAAACAGGTCTTGATATCATATGCTTAAACAGCATGTCGTTGAGGTTCAGCTGAGATCTGATTTTATAACTAAAACCAGAGTACTCTCTATCTTAAGCTTCAACATTGCACACCACTACTTTGCACTTCCCCAAATCATTCAGTAGCTCTTCTGTAGACTCCAATTACCTTTTTAAGACCAAACAGGGTTTGAATAATCTACAATGACATTTGATTTGTTATTTCCCTACTGAGAATGTCTGTAATTGTTATTCCTGGTTGTCTACTTGACTATATCTGGAATGAAGTAACATCCATAATTGGAAGGCTCACCTGTGATCCAGATCTTCAGGCTAGGAGGTAGAAGTTTCTGACTTGATCTTGGCATGGAGATTTTGAGGCATAGTAGCTATGAATCACAGAAGACTAAGTCAAGGGGATCTCTGAGTTCAAGGTCATCTGGAACAAAGCAAGTCCCTGAACCAGTCATGGTGATACATACCTTTAATCTGGGTCATACCTTCTTCTGGAGATTTACATAGGGACATTGGAAGAAGGAAGACTCTTCTTCACCTGCTTACCCTGTGGGACAGAGCAACTACTGGATCCTTGAACTTCCATTTACAGCTGACCATTGTTGGAGAGTTGGGCTACAGACTGTAGGTCAACATAACAAATTCCCTTACTATATAGAGACTACCCATAAGTTCTGTGACTCTAGAGAACACTGACTAATAAAATGTCACTTAGATACTTCGAGTACAAAGATTTGTACAAAGATTTGTATAGTTCTTGAAGTCTAGAGGAACTCAGATATGTCTGTACTGATGAAGTATACACTGTACATAGCAGCCTCATGTGCCTCTGAAACATTTTAAATTTATGCAAAGCCTGGCTAAACCTGAGATATCATGTCAGGAATAGGAGGAACCGGAGAGAACAGCTGTGAAAAGTCACTTTTGCATCTCTGGGTGGTTTATGTTATGACTTATATCACAGTGGTATCCACTGTAACCCTGCTGGCAAAAATACGTGGCAACATCTTCAGACTGCAGACCGTTGATGGTGAGTGTGAAATCAGTGCCAGATCCACTTCCACTGAACCTTGATGGGATGCCCGATTGCAAACTCTTTGCATTATATATCAGGAGTGTGGGAGCTTCTCCTTGTTTTTGCTGGTACCAGTGTAAGTAATTGCTAACACCCTGACTTGCCCTGCAGTTCATGGCAACTCTGGCTCCCACAGATGCAGACAGGGTGGATGGAGACTGAGTCATCTGTATATCACATCTCATGCCTGATATTGGAAATAGACATCAAATATATACTGTAAATCATATTAAAAACATAGCTTTTTAAGTATTATGCACACTTTTGAATGTTTCTTTTTTGTGATGTACATCTTACCTGGGAACCAGAGCAACAGCAGCCCTAGGAGTTGAACTGGAGCCTTCATGACTGTCCTTTGTCCTGTTTCAGACTGAATACCATAATGTGTAGACTGTCTAATAAGAAGATATAGTTCAGTGGGCTGTGTCCCTCAAACATGCAAATCATCTGGAGTCTGGCACAGCTGTGTGGCTTATTTAATAAGGACCTGATGTCTCTGCCAGTCTCAGGGCTAAGGTGGGATACATAGATTTTCTGGCAGGCAATGTGTTTGTTTCTCTTGAGAAACAGAAGAACTATGTCAAAGTGATTTCCTGTGAATGGTGTATTAAATTGACTATCATTTTCTGCCAAGTTTTCCTCAGTACAGCTCCAACTAATACAGGAACTGTTCACTATGACACAGACCTAGACCTGAAGAAAACCTGGAAAACAGTATTTAGACCCCTCTAATTTGTGCCTGACAATACTATTGGAAGTATAGTGTCTTCCTTTTTGTTCTGCTACCCTGATTCTTTTAATATGAAGTAGAAGTCACATAACAAATCAGCAATACCATACACAATGAATAATAATATACACAAAGGTGACTCTTAAACAACAGGACCTGCATTCACTAAATTGTCAGATATATAAAGCTGACGTGACTTACTCCTTTCATGACTGGCCAGAATTTATGCATTCCTACCTCCCATCTGTAGCTTATCTTTGCTTGATATTTTCAAGGTCACTCACATCATTACTATTATTCTCTATTATACATTTTGACTCTATGCATTATCACAAGCAGGGGCCCTTTCTCTTTGTGATCATTCATACCCTTAAATGTTTCATGATCTTTAAAAATAGTAAACACCTACATTCTTTTTACTTCCTTCTGTTTTTATCTTTATTAAAGCAATAATTTATTCATATCAAAATAGTTTGTATATTACATAGTATATGATAGCAATTATAAATAACTTTCAAAAAATAGGAAACTTCCAGGTTAGAGATATTATGCACTAACTCCTTCAAGCCCAAAAAAAACCTTCTAAGTGAGATAGTCCAACAAATGTAATGTATTCATTGACTAACGATGTCTAATGTCTAATTAACAAGAGCAATCAATACTGAATAGTTTTGAAAGATAAGTATAGGTACTTCAACAATCATACATTAGAATTAATTTCCCCAGGATATTGTATTCAAATTCCAAACATAATATATAGTTATTTGTGAATCATTCAAATGAGAAAAGATAAACTAACAGCTCTCCTCATACCAATCCATATTCTCCTGTGTGTTTCTATAGGGTTCATTTCACTTCAGATTCTGTGACCATAGAACAAATGACAGAGGGAAGACTCAGTGGCTTGAAGATTGATTAAACAACTGGTGAAATACCCATGTTTTCGATCATATACAGTCCACACACAGATGAGGTGAAACAGCTTCCTTAAAAAAAAAAATCTGTGATAGAGTATGTTCACGCAGAGGTTAGATTAGGTCCCAGGAATGTGCTTTCTTCACTGTAAGCCAAAGAAAGGCACATTCATATCTCTTCGTAAGTGAGGAAGCTGGACCACATAAGTTTGTTCACTGAAGACAGGTAGAGAATGTGGCTGTGAGCAAATAAAATTTGTTCTATCTCTGACCTGACGGTGAAGATTCTTTTTCTTTTTTCCCCTGCTATGCTCAGTGACTTAGCCTCTATTATAGGTTTAAAAGTAGCAAGACTGGCTAAAAAGAATCTGAAGTACTGGATTTTTTTTATCATCAGATATATGGTAAATTCAAATAGTTTGTGTCTTACACATATAAAATCAAAGTATATCTTTATGGAATAAACCATATGAAGTTGTTGACTAGTAAAAATCCTTTGGCAAAGGAGATGGCTCAATGAGTAAAGGCACTTGTTTCTCTGGAGGGGACCTGCTTTTGTTTTCTAGTTTCCAAATGTGATTAACAAACAGTTTTGCATCTTGTTCCAGAGAATTTAATGCCCTCTTCTGACTAACACTAGTACTGGATATGCAGTTGGTGCACCAGGTTGCATGCAGGTAAATCACCCATACATGTAAACTGAAAATAAAGTAAGGCAAACAATGGTAGATTACCTAAGGTAAGAAAGATAGGTCAGAAAAAGTGGCATAGTGAGATTCCTGCTGTTTGGTTGTTATTACCTGTTAGAGACCAGATTTTTCTTTCACCAAAATTGTCTTTTACTATTAGCGTGAAGGAGAGATGAAGTAAGAAATATTATGGATGTAGACAAAAACAACCATCAAAATAGAATTAACAAGAAAAAAAACCCAACAAATTATCAAAGAAACTAATTCTCACCAGAGGACTACAGAATCAAGTATTGTAGTGAAGAATGAGAAAATAACCCATTATATAGTCATGTTAGATTTGCCTAAAGATGGGCCCCCTCTCTTCTCTATTTTGTGTTCTTATGTATTACATTTCTTTCAATAAAATTCATTACTTGTGGGCTTCAGAATCATGAATACCATGTGGGATATAGGTATAACTCTTATGAAGAGTGATTTAAGTTCTACAAAAATTGAGGAGCATAACCTGGATTTTAACTTTTGATGTATTCTTTTGTTGTCTAACGTACTAGTAACCATAAGGCAAGTGAATCCAAATGTTGTGTGTTAATATTTATAACTCCACATTTTGTAAAAATAAAAATGAAAAGCGTACTACACTTGGTCAATCCACAACAAATATTATAGGCATGTGTTCAGCAGGAATTTGGGCACAGGAAAGATGAAGATGAAATTATGAGTATGGAATTCAAAGTTAAAGTGAAACTGACCATGGTGAATTAGGCACAGTAAACAGGAGTGTTTGGGAGAAGAGGCAAATAGTGCCATGGGTTGCTCCTCTGCACATTTTCTATGTGGGAAGAAGTAGAATGTAAAACGGTGTTTGGTCAGTGAAGAATGGAAAATTAAAAAGAATATATCTATAAAAGAATGTCTCAGAGTGAAAATTCAGAAAACCAGAGTAGGAGATGGTGACCAGCAGAGGAAGTTTGGACAGTGGACGAGTTTGAGAAAGAAATTGGGATCTATTGTAGAAGAGCTTGAAAATAAGAGTCTGCCACCTGGCAGAGTAATAGATATACAGGGTCAAGGTAAATCAACCCAAAGAGAAGAGGCAGCTAAGCTGTTTAGGAGAACAAAAGAGCCACAACCTCACCTGCTTCTGTAATATCTATTTGCTCAATACTGTACAACCGTTCTTATCAAAAAATCAGCAATGCAAAGTCCTGTACAAGGTAAAGAAGGACCCACAACAGTGGGCCACCTACTCAATTTCACAATTATGCAGGATGATGAAATTCACAGAACTAAAGCAGAACCATGGTTGAGCAGAAGGAAACAATTGCTAAGGCAAAGACTCCCTGACTCATCACATGAGAAATAGTATTGTCCTCCAATAGAGAGCACCTTGCAGCAGTTAGCTGGTGTGCTGTGTAATAATGATGACAATAATAATTTGACAACTCTTAAGGCTTTTAACTGTGACAGTAAAAATTTATCCCATAATCACTACCTCTGAAGTAGTCATAGAACCAAGATATCAGGCGTATGCTTAGAATGTAAAAGGCTGAGAAATTAATCCTTGCTTCTGCTGGCACCAAGACAGGAAGTTGTTTTATCTCTATGAAAACTTTTTGCTCAACTGATGGCTCTCTCTATACCCCAGACCCCATCAGGAAGCATAAAGACTGGTCATCATGAGAGCCCCACAGACACCATCAATTTGACATGAACAAGGTTTATATACTGCAATATTCCTTTAAAAATCAAAAATATACATTTTCTAATTCATTCAACCATGGCACTGGTTGATGTAGCTTTACATTATTTGTGTTAAAATTATGTCTTTAATGAGGATATTAATATCTAACCATAAAGTCTGCAATGTAGGTACCAAATTTGAGGAACAACCTCCAATGATAATGAAGCCCATAACACAATCTGTTCACAGGGCTTCAAATATGGAACCTCCATTAGGGTAGTATATGCCAGAGGTAGTAAAATCTGATAATAGAGCAAAAAATGTTGTATTGCAGGTGCTATTAAAGAACCTATTTCCAAAGGCAATACCTCATATTAATATGGATACAGATTTTTGAGTTTCTTGAGCTTGTGAGGAGGGGTATGTTTAATTACAGCTGTTATACTTCTTAAGTGCAACATCCATGTATTGTCCAGAAAAAAATTTCACAGTATTTATTCTCATTGTGACTCAAATTTTTTCTGGCAATTATTCTGTTATATATCCTGGGCCATGGGGAAAGTTGGAGGAGGGAAGATTCTCATAGGGCCACACTCATAGAAATGCAACTATTGCATTGGCTTGCTATTAGGCAAGTGATAGTCATTCATCTTTTGAGATATAGACACTTGTGGGTTGTCTATCCTCAAATGGATCACTAACTGGACATTGAGAGCTCTACATATTAGATAGGACACCTTTATATAAGGGCCTGAGAAAGTGTCTCATTAGATACAAGCACACACTGCTCTCACAGAGGACTATGTTTGATTCTAAGAACCACACTGGACAGCTCATAATTGCTTGAACCGTTAGCTCTGGGCAAACTGATTTCTCCTTTAGGCATCTCCACTTATGTCTACATGCAAGCATGCTGACACTTCTAGACATATACTTAATTATATCAATGAATGAACAAAACAGAAAAACATGAAATTGTGAAGGAGGACTTGGTTTGTGGCCATCATTGTAAGGCATAAAAGAGGGAAAGACAGTGTATAGGATCATAATATGCTGTATGCATGTATATAATTCCCAAAGAATAAACATAATTTCTTTTTAAAATAGAGACAGAGACCACAAGTTGCAGGCATATAAAGAACCAAAGGAATGGACATGTACTTTTGTAAAAATATCAAGGAGAACTTATCCGATTTTGAAAGTAGTTAGAATTTCTTTGATCTTTGTTTAGTTAATTGGACAAAACATTGATGAATACAGAAATAAATACAACTTATCTAGAGGTGACAAACCTGCTACAACCATATAAATACATGCTATGTTTCTCTTTTATGTATCCAAATTCACTCCAGCTATACCTG